AACAAAATAAAACTTGATTTGGGTTTTCTTTCTTTTTCTATAATCATTATTTTGGCAATTTCTTTTTCTTCCATCTTTCTCTTTTTTCCTCTCTTCTTTTATGTAAGAATGTGAAGTACAAAAGCTTTTTCTATTGTTACTGTTGTAAGAATGTGAAGTATGATGAAGTACATCATTTCCTTTTCGCTTTTGAATCTGTATATACTTTTACATTTGTCTTTTCGAATGAATATGATTTTGTCAAGAAAAAATTATCAAATCAATATACACTAAAAATTTCTAGTTATTATAAAAAAACTCGATGAAAATTTAATGTTTTACCATTTTTCATAAGGACATTGTCAAAGGAAGTGTTTATATGTGCATCGCACATGGTATGATGGTACATAACATAATTTACAAAAAAAGATTCTATATTTTATTATTCAATTTATTGGTTAATTTTTTTTAATATAAATAAAACATAAAAAATGAATAGACTCCACGATATTATTGATACACATAAATTACACTTTGTTTTGTTGGTAAACACATATGTAGACAGTAGACTACTTGTAACATTGGACCGAATCTTTATGTAATAGTGCTCTAGAATCTGTCTATTGGGTTTGTTGTTGGGACAAGGAGTCATTATTTATCTTCGCCGTTTCTTCTACACCAGTCTTCTTATAATTATAACATATACAGTTGTGTTTATATGAATAAATGACAAATACTTTTGTAGTTTATGCTACCTAATAATACATTCTTTGCCCTAATTGACATAACCGAAAAAATTGTGTTTGCGATTTTATAGCGTTTATTGTTATTTCAGGAATAGAGGCTCGCGGTTTCCTGTTCGGTCCACCAATCGCGTTAGCCATTGGAGCGAAATTTGTTCCTCTTCGGAAACCCAAGAAATTGCCTGGTTGTTAAACTTTTACACCTTTCATATAATTTTTATATATGAAGTAGTACACTAATGTTAAATGTCTAATGGTTACATGACATTAAAATGTAACTAGGCGAAACAATATTTGAGGAATACGAGTTGGAGTACGGAAATGACCGGCTAGAGATGCATGTTGGAGCTGTTGAAGCCGCAGATCGAGCTTTGGTCGTTGATGATCTAATCGCGACTGGTGGTACTCTCTGCGCCGCCATTAACTTGCTCGGTAAATTCCCTAAAACTACATGAAAATTGAATTGAGATCTTAAATTTCAAACCTAACCAATTCAAGAAATTCAAATTTGTATTCATTACCCTCAGTGAATTGTTTTTGATTTTGGGACCATGTTAGAGAGGGTTGGAGCAGAAGTTGTGGAATGTGCATGTGTGATCGAGTTACCCGAGTTAAAGGTTTGTTGTCATGAAAATTTAATACATTATATTCGAAATAATAAATTGAGATCTTTATATTGGTGTGACATTTAATGTTTTTTGAGGTGGGAAATTAAATATTTTTGCAGGGAAGGCAGAGACTCAAGGGGAAGCCGTTATGTATGCTTGTGGAGTACCGATGTTCGTTTTAGATGAGTTATTTGGATACATTATTCGATCGGTTAATTTAATTTTGGTTATGCACCGAAAATTCGGATTATGCAGACTTGTTATTGGAATTGGATTTTACAATATTTCGATTTAAAAATCTGGCGGATTGGCTGGAACAAAGAATCCAAATTTCTTTGTCGTTAAAACTAGCTAATATATTATAAGTTACCGATATACAAATCATATAAATTATCTATCCTTGGGGAGTACTAAATTATCTACACATATCATTAAGCTATGATAGTTATGGACATAGGTGACTATTCTTCTAAGTTCTAATAACACAATTAGTTAATTAAGCAGTTTGTTATCATGTTAAACTATGTTAATAACAATATTTGTACACTACAGAATCCGCTCCCCTC